GTATAATATTTTCCCTATAATAATTACAAAAACACAAACTAAGTATTTATATTTGTGTAGCCTTTGTTTTCAGAGTTATTAACAACGTTCGTCTACTCAGACCAGTAATATTAGGGGTCAAAAGTTTTTGCCATGAATATTTTGTGGGTCAGAAGATAAAAAGATTGGGAACCAGTGGTTTAGAGAACCTTTTCATGATATGCTAATTTTTTGAGAAGGGCTGAATGTATAACTCTGTCCATTCTTAACCTTTGGAGCCTTTTTATATAAAAAGTTTGACATTAATTAATTAAACTTTGGCATTTGGAGTGGGTGATTTTCATTCCTTCAAGAAATTTTAGGTTTTTAATTGTTTGATTAAATATGAATAAAACTTATGTTCGTCTTCTCCATGTTTGTTTCTGTCAGTTGCACCTGAGGAAAATGGGTCGCAGCAACTTTCTGATKGCCTCCAGCTTCCAAACACTTCCTTTTTACAAAAAACAGGTATTGTTTTGTCGTTGTGTGTTTTATCTACTCATGGATAGGATTTAGCATCGTGTCACTTTCTCCCTGCAGAGGACGCTTGCATAGAGCTGAGCAGAGCCATCGAGGCGGGGGACGTGCAGTCGTCTTCGGCCTTCGCTGCTGCGCTCGCCCAGGAGCAYGCAGCGCTTCGGATCCAGCCCTCCAGCAAAGACTACGAGGATACTGAAATCAGGTAGGACTCCGGCTGTCCACTGTTTGAAAGCAGAATTAACAGCGGGTGAAGTAATGTTTGGTTTGTTTGATTTCATCAAACAGTCTGGCTGTTGTAGTGGAGGATTCCTCCTCCTCTTGTTGTGTCACTGTGAAAGTTTTCCCACTCATGACTACTGCATCGTTAAAACAGCAGGTTCATTTCACATATTCTCCACCTTTTCATTACATCTCATTTCACCTTCCTCGTTGCTGAAGCGCGCTGTTTTTCTTTTTGTGTTTCCAGATGTTCCTTGAATACGGCTTTCACCCACGAGTGCAGCGCTGGATAATCGGTCAGTGCCTGTGCGCCGACCAGCGAACCCTCGCCTCCTACGGCGTCCACCGGGACGGCGACACGGCCTTTTTGTATCTGCTGTCCGCCCGCTACGCCCGCCTCACTCTTCAGGACCTGCAGCAGGACCAGGAGAGTGCGCTACTCCTCAGTCCTCCTCTGTCAGTTCAAAACCTGTCACTCACGGAAAAATCCACAAACGGGCTTTCGTTCCAAGACCGGAGGCCGTACACCACCCTACCTCCAAGACTCCACAATAACGTCGGTAATAATGAAGTGTTTGATTTGTTTAAACTAATGTATATAAATCCCTGTCATCAGGCAATAAATCAAGTCTTCAAGTTTCAGGTGTTTGTGAGGTGCATGGTCTCTAACCTCTGTAGAGAGCCCTGTGAACAGGCATTAGCTAATCATCATCATCATCAAACTTTATTTATAAAGCACTATAACATCAGCTACAGCTGAAACAAAGTGCTGAACACAGGAAATAAAAACTCTATTCAAAAACACAATAAAAATACACAGTTAAATAAGTAAAATCAGCACCAATACAGTAAAAGTTGAGTAAAACCAAATCTCAGTTGGGTTGAAGGCCAGTGAGACAAAACAAGTTTTCAGAATCCGAATCACCTTTATTGTCRTTATAATTTGCATTACAATGAAATTGGGTTTGCTGCTCCAAGGTGCTTGCTTTTTTAGACACAATAAAATAACATTAGGAGTAGACAATACAATAAAATAGACAAGTTGAAATCAAATAGACAAAGATGTGTAATATCAAAAAGAATGGAGAAATCAAAGAGTTTCTGTGTGTACAAATAAAGAAAAGGGAAATTGTACAAGAGAAATTTTTAGGTGAGTTTGACAAATGGACAGTGAAGTGGACTGTCAAGCATGCAAGGGCAAGGCGTTCCACAATTTAAGGGCGCTAACGGAGAAGCTAGAGGAGCGTCTTTTCGGTTTTCCAGTGATTTTTTTTTTTTTTTTCAACTGGCAAACCCTCAAGTCGCCCTCGGCACCGTGCCGAACCTTAGGTTTGCAGAGAGTTATTCTTTTTTTTTTTAAACTACTAATTAGGGCAGCAAAATTTATATCACAAAGGACTGCTTGGAGTGCAGAAATTGTTGACTAATGCAGGGGTTCTCCAACATTTTGGGTCTGGGGACCCCTTATAAGGGAGAGAATTTTTACCAGGGACCCCCTCATAAACTCTGTGCTGTTTTTAAATGACAATTTACTGTCATTTAAAATCCCTAAATGCCATTGGAATACATATTTTTATTAAGTTTATTTTGTTTGTTTTATTAGTTATTATTCCCCATGCATTTTTAACCAAATTAACAATTTAGTGGCATTTTTTGAGGATCCCTCTTGCAGACCCCTGGGGGTCCTGGGACCTCTACACTAATGTACTAATGTACTTGTTACTATGTAACAATATTATCGTTAATCGCGATAATTTCTAAGACAATTTATCGTCCTGCCTTTCCGCTAGCACCAACGCTATATTACCTTATATGTATTAGCTCAGTGCTAGCTCAACAAACAAGCTAAACTGAGGTCCTCCATCCATATTTTCAGTTGCAGACTGAGTCATTTTTGCGTTCCCCTCTCTGTCATGTGGATGGAGGACCTCAGTGACCAGAGGAGAATGTTTAGCGCTGACCTAATACATATGATAGCATCTGGGCTAATGCTAAAGCTAAGAGGCTAAGCTGAGGTTCTTCTTCCATGAAGCAGCTCTGTTGTCCTCCATCCATATTTTCAGTTACAGGCTGAGTCATTTCTACCTTCTCCTCTCTGTCAACGCTCTCTGGTTTCATTTAAGAGTCAGATATTGTCCAAGATTAACCTTCAGGATGGATAGGAGCACCCTAGCAGCCTCACACCGATGACCTAGTTGATGTCATCATTTACCC